CGGAGGGCGGAACGGATTAACCGTATTTACAGTACATTGAACCTTATGGGAAAATTTACCTTGACTTGAGACCAACTCAAGTTGCAACCAGAGTCACGGAACGGATTAAGTTCGTAACTAGAGGTACCACTGTACTTATGAACAACATTGGTTCTATCACTCCTGGATTGTTGCAAAAAGAGATTGTAATGTGGTCTTGGAAAGAGACTAATAAACAATATCACTGTTGGCCTTTAAATTGGTTCTTTATTGACACAGTGGAAAGACTGGACAATATGATTCTGCCTGATCAATTTGTTTAAAAATTGAGCTGTAATGTTTCTTAATTATATACAACTGTTTACCGTCTTTTTTAAATTTAAATTTGAATGGTGTTTTTGCCTTCTTTTATATTTTGCTTTCTTTTGTATTTTGATCCTTTAGATGCTTTGTTTTTTTGGTTGAATACTAAAGCAATAAAATTAATTTAAAAATTAAAAATATATGACAACAAAAAAATACAGACTTCTATAAGTTTGCTGCTGTCTAGCAATTAATCAAATTTTTGTAGCCCTAAGTTTAGATCTAGTATTTAATTGGAATATTTTCTGATAGGAGTTTGGAAGAAATGGAATTAAATCATATCCTAGAATCATATTCTAACAGACAATATGTACTTGTGTAAAGTTGAACAAATCTAAAGTGATCTGGGGAAACATACTGTCCACATGAGAAACGTGCATACATCTTAGGTGTGCAGTCATAAAAGACAAGTGTTGTTTGATGGCATGCATAGCTAATAAAGCTATCTAGAATAAGGCTTCAGAGATGAACATTTAGTCATCTTGACTCAGGCACAGGATAGAAATTGGGTGTGGCATATGGGGACATCTTACCACTGCTGAGTTTCTGGCCCCATTCCTCAATTTAAGCCGTTAACTACCGCTCACACAGATGGTGCTGGACTGAAGGGGACTGAACACAGCCATCATTATTCTCTCTCCAAACCCTCAGAATTACATTTGCGCTGCCTTGTTGAGGGTCTTCCCTGGCCACCGATGGAACAGCCCCTCCCACACGATCCCCAATACCCCGCCCACTCTTCATCCTTGTCTCGCCCTGTTTTTGTTTGTTTATTTTGCAGAGGAGGAAGAATCGGCCGCTGCGCGGGAAGAATCGGAAACGCCAGGGCGCCTGGGCTGAGAGCGAAAGGGAGGAAGCGGGACAAGGCAGAACTTCCCGCAAACGTGACACTGCCCTCCCTCAACATTCAGAAGAAACGCTACAGGGCTGTCTTACGCAGATTTTCTCTGGAGCAGCAGCTAGGCTAAAAGTTAACCAGCTCGGCCTTACCTCCCCCCCCCGACCATGGGGGTCCTGGGGTCAGGGACGCAGTGATTAACCCGGGTCGGTGCAATTCGCTGCGTAAAAGGAGCCTTAATCCGCACAACATGCTGCGCCCAAACCAAGCGAACCTCATCATAACTTCGCGAGACATGTGAACACTGGCACTCGCTGGCGTTCTTGCGAATAACTTAGGTCTGGGGTACCCGATCTGATAGCAAGGCAACCGCACGCGTTCGCCATCGTTTAATGCCCAAGAGCCTTTGTAAACCGAACACAAGTCAGGGGACTTCCTACTTCGCTGTCCAAACGACTAGTCACTTACTTGTCCGGCCCCCCCCCGGCCCCCCTTTGCTACTGTAAAGCGCTCGTATTCTAGCGGTAACGTAGTTCTGTCTTTTGAATAGCCTTTGAGCGACCCCACGGCACGGTGAAATCATTCCCATCGGGTAGTTTTGTGCTTTTTCCAGGGTGGTCATGAGATCAGCAGGCAAAAACTGCAGACATTCTGCTCCTCGTAAAAACGCCACGGTGTTTCCTCCTCCGCTTCGGCGCTAGAAAGTCAAACGGGCCACTTCGTCGCCCATCAGAAAGTCGAAACGACCCGAAGACGGGGAGATACTGTGGCGCAAGCAGCCCAAGGCGCCCCTCCCCACTTCCTCCGGTCTTGCCAAGCGGGCAGGCCTTCCCCCCCAGGAAGGGCCGCGCGGGCGGGGTCGGGCGGCGCTGCTGCTTCCCTCGCCGGGGGCTCTTCGCGGAGCGCCTGAGCAGCGGCTGAGGAGCGCCGGTGTGATGTGGAGTCGGGGCTCGGACGGCCAAAGCGGTGGCGTTTCTCCCCCGGGTCCGAGAGGTCATGGCGAACGTCAAAGTAGCCGTGCGGGTCCGGCCTCTCAGCAAAAGGTGAGCCAGCAGTTCTGGGATGGAAAGGGGAAGCCTCTAACGCGTTTACTTGTATCCACACGTGCCTGCACAACTGATACAAACTCGGCTTGTGGGTTCTGCAGAGCTGTGCCCTTTCTCGTTTGAGCTTTAGGGAGCGCACTCACGTTCAATAGGCTTGTCGGTGAGCGCCCGGCAAGTTAACTTGCGCTCCTTCCAGGGGACTGTTTAACGTGTATTTGAAGTTGGTGCGCGTTTTGATCCTAGCCGCGAACGTGGGAAGTGAGGAGACTCACGTGCTGGACTGCAGAGAGGCCGGCTGCTGTTGCGCCCGTAAAGCGCAGCGTGCAGAAAAGTGAACACTAAGTCCAGAGCGTGACCAAACAAGGCAAGGCTGCTCTTGGTTCAGAAAGCGTGCAGAGGGTGTAAGAGCGGAGCAGAACTTTAAGAAATCCGATGCATTTCCTGCAGGCGCTTTCTAGTAATGTAGAATACGCCCAGATTTTTTTTTAAGATGTAACCCGTGCTTTGTTTATATGGGATAGTGATCAGCTGTGTTTGTGATATCCTGAATCTCAAGGTAGTGTGTTGTGTGAATTCTACCCATGGAATTAGTATATGGTCAAGTGGGTTGTGAGAACCCAGGAAATTGGATTAATTGAGTAAACTATGATTGAATTAACTATGAGTAAGTGTGCTGTGTGAAGACAGTCATATCAACCCTGGGTATTTGTCATTAAAATCAGGATTCTTAATTATCGTGATTTCAGGCTCGATGACTAATTTAGGAGTTTTTCCAAGGAAGACAAGAAAAGTCTTCCCAACTTATAGTTTATGACACACAAAAAATGTATATTTTATTATTTGTGGAGATCCAGTTGTCTTCCTTCAAGATTGCGGTTCTGTTTTAAAAAATGGGAAAATGTGATTCTTCCATCTATCTTCCTTTGCTTGAATGAATGCTGTGTGAAATGTGTCACATGTCACAGTTTGACACTGGCTGCTACCCACAAGCTTCCTAGTCATCCCTACCCTGTTCTGTACTGTACATTTTTGTTTCTAATTATGTCATGTCACTGAATATCATGCTTTTACAAGTGCTGTTTTTATTTTTGAATTCTCATCTAAGCTTTGCTTGTTACTGTCAAAACATTCAAAAAGCAAGCAAAGTACTCTTTTCCCACAATTTCAGAAGTCTTTGTTCTAGCACTCTCTTCTGCTGGACAGATTCACTACTAGAGTGAATTATCTCATCTGTTTCTTTTATTTAGTAATGAAAGACCTTATTTTTTCAATTTAAACTATAGCTAATTTGCCATTTACCTTACAATGGGCCAGATCAGCTTTAACCCTCTATAATATTCCTACCTGATCTTCTTTCCCTGCTTTGTGGATTGAGCTTCATTATTAAGTAATTCCGCATCCTCAAACCCTATGTTTATCTATTGCTGAACAATAATTTTGATTTACAAAATCACCGTACTGCAGATTCAGCTCACATAAATATTGGCGATACTCATGGTATGAACATGTGGTGTGTATAACAAAATAATTAAGACCATGTGTACCATGGAGTTTTGGGGAGGATGGGAGAAAGAAAACTTTGGAGTTGTTTAAAATCTGTGTGACAAATAATATAATCCCTCCTCTGGAGAAGGGAGGGAATAACAAGAAAGTAAAACAGATGCGGTATGTGTACTGCCCGGTCTTTGTTTTTGATGCAGCTCTTTTAATGGCTACATCATGTTTTCTGACACGTGGCCATTATAAATAACTTTTCGCTGTTATAGGCAAGATAGTTTCTCAGCCTTGCAGTGTTATGTTGACATTATAAGGCAGTTAAGCTTTAATTGGCAGAAACAAAGAAACATCTTAATTTTTTAAATTTTTATATGCATAACTCGGCATGGACCTTTCAATCACTGCTGTACAGTACTGCCTTAGCTTTTCATAAGGAGAATAAATACAAATAAAGAAAATAATACTGTAGCTTGAACTGAAGCTTCTTTAGAGAAAAAGTCCTAAATCTCAAGCTGTGCTCATATACGTGTTTAAACAGTAAGTTGCTTACCTCTGGTTTACTGACTAAATCACAGTTGGCTGGGTCTCTACAGCATGCTGAAATATAATCCATGTTTTATAAATCTTGATGGAAGATTCACACAACACACTTAAGACAAACCACATTACAACTTAGCTTGTTATGTGAACCCAGCCATAATTTGTGCCTGGGCAGGCTAAGTGAAACATCTGGGATTGGTCTGTAAACTATGGTTTATGAATTAGCTTGTGTGAACATGTAAAGGCTGAAGCTGGTAAAGAAGGAATCCACCATTTCCAGGCCAGATGAAACTGTTACGAAAACATTTAGTAGATGTTTCTGACTATCAGCGCTGAGAAAAGAGCAGCCAAATGTCTATTGACTTGAAAGGGGGAGGGGGGGAGGAAGCAGCCTAAGATTTAAACACTGGAGAAGTCATATGTAAGGGCTTGAGTCCTGTGTTTTGTACTACTCAGGCCTTTTATATATAAATAGATATGTCTTCTTTGTTGCCTGCAATAAAGCAGCTTATCTAGCCATGTTGAATCTCTGAAGCTCCAACTGTTCTTACTGTTACTGAATATAGGGTTGACTTTCTGAAGAGTTGGTAATTTGCCATGCCTAATGAAGTCTGATAGAATGAAAGTAGGATGTCATGGTCAGTAAGTCAATTATGAAAAGAATTGAATATGTAGTGCTTAGACCTGAACATTGTCTGTGATGATGTGAGCCATGCTTTCTGCATGCTGTTCAGAATGCTTTTATTGGTTCTACTCCATTGGATTATGATAATGGAACCCCAGGGTTTGTAATGGCCTGACACAATTTTGATTTATTAAAAAATGGGAGCATTTTTATGTATACACAAAGGCTAGTATAATGCTAACCATAGGTGAAGTACTCACCCATCAGTATGGTACCAGATAACATAGTAGACCAGCCCTGATTTGCTGGCAAGAGCCATCTTGCCTGATTTCCCAACTACCTTTATAAAATAAAACAAAAATGTAGTGATCCAATAGAGGTTGGAGACATTGCAGATGAAATAAGAAAGGCTTTGCCTCCCTTACTCACTTTGTGTCTTCTTTTAAGTTCCCTCCACATCCATAGGAAATGGAAATAAAATGGGGAGACAGAAACACTAGAGTTGCAGTGCCCTTAGTTGTAGCTGCTCTAGTCTCTTGTCTCTGTATTGAGAAGCTAGAAGACAGCGTAACCGTGAAGTAACTCTTCGGTTAATGTCCGTACCATAACTGGACCCCCAGGCACAATGACAAAGCCATGTCTTCAGAGCCTTTCGAAAGGCAAGTAGGGCCGGGGCCAGTCTAAGGCTGGGGAGATGATGCTCCAAAGGGCAGGTGCCACAGCAAAAAAGGCTCTCCTTCTGGGTCCCGCCAGATGGCATTCCTTAATAGGTGGGACCCATAACATGCCTCTTGTGCTGGACCTGACACAATGGGTAGATGTAACTGGGGAGAGGTGGTCCCTCAAATAACCCAGGCCATGCCATATAGGGTTAATAGGTCATTACCAGCACCTTGAATTGAACCTGGAAATAAACTGGCAACCAATGCAGCTTGTGGAGCAGAGGTGTAAGGTGCACTGATTGAGGAGTACACGTAACTGCTAACACTACTTTATTTTGCATCAGCTGCAGTTTCCAGATGTTCTTCAAGGGCAACCCTATCTAGGGCACATTACATTAATCCATTTGGAAGGTAACCATGGCATGAGTGATTGAGAATAGAACCTCTGATCCAAGAATGGGCTCAACTGGCACACAACATGAAGTTGTGGATAGGCCTTCCTGGCCATGACTGCCACCTGCTCTTTAAGCAGGAGTTGTGAGTCCAAAAGGACTTCCATATTGCACAAAAGTCTGGTTGGGGCAGTGCGACCCCATCCAGCACCATAGATGGTAAGTTCCCAGAACCCAAAGGCCCCAAGACTCAGAGTCACTCAGTCTTGCTAGGATTTAGCTGAAGCCTGTTGTTCCCCATCCAGACTCCCACAGCTTCCAAACACTGAGACAATAACCTCACCCATTGGCTTCAGGAGTGGAGAGAATACCAAACTTTGTGGAACCCCACAAGGCAGAGGCAGGCTAAGGGCAGGAATTCTTGCTCCTGATCAACACTGACTGAAACCAGTGCCAGAGGAAAGAGGAGAACCAGCATAATACAGTGCTGCCCATCCCCAACCCCCATAGCTGGTCCAGGAGGATACCATGGTTGATGGTATTGAAGGCTGCCAAGAAGAGCAAGGATGAATGTACTACCCCCATCCTGCTCATGCCAGAGGTCATCCAAAAGCAATGCTGTTTTAGTCCCATGCCCAGGTCTGAAATGAGTCTGAAAGTGGTCCAGGTAATCCACCTCATCCAGGATACTCTGAAGCTCTTGCATGACCACCTTCTCAACAGCCTTCCCAAAAAAGGAAAGGTGGACATGGGACAAAAATTGCTTAATATGGTTGGGTCTAGTGATGGTTTTTTGAGGAGGGGGGCAAACCAACACCCTCTCTCTCAAGGAAGAATTCACCACCACCAAAATCCAACCACACATCACCTCCCAGGAGGCTTTTGTGAACCAGGAGGGACATCAGTCTAATAAACTGGTGGCCAAACTCATAGTCATGAGGACCCTGTCCACTTCCTCTGGCCCAAAAGGACTTTAAAGTAGGATTTTAAGAAGCATTAAATAATGTAATTTGATGAATATAGGTGAAGGATGGAGTTTTTCTTAGGCTTATGGCTCATTTAGAGTGAATCCTTGAGATGGCATAAAATTTGGTTCCTCATTACTTGAGTACGTGCAGGGCACATTACAGACAGGGATTGGTGGATTCCCTTGGTTTTGTTTCCCTACCCTCTAATCAGACATCTGCACCCACCAGTAATTCTCCTTAATACGGGCTGGGGAAGAGGCAGGTTTTGACAGGCAGGACAAGCTGTCTGTCAAAACTTGCTACTGGCTTTATGTTAACATTTTCAATGGATGTGATGTGGATGTGTTCAAAAGGAGACTGACTAATGGGACTACTCCTCCAGCTGGCAGTTAGCTTTCCTCTGAGCTCCTTTGAACCTGGATTTAGCGCATCCTCACTGTTCTCCATGTCAGGTTTAATTTGGCTCTCCCTGTTGCATTGCTCAAACCCTACCCTCCACTTGTCAGCTGATTAATGGTCCGTGGTAGGAGCTGTGTGGTGATCTACTGGAAGAGAAGCAGATGAAGGGTGGGGAAAAAGAATGAGAGATCCTTTACCTGTCTTCTCTTCCAGCCTGGGGGTCAGCTGTTGGGGCTGAGAGATGTGGTAACATTCTTAATTTGCCATGTCTCTTGGAACTTCTTTCTTGTTCTTTGGTTTTTCTTCAGAGTCTTTCCTATCCCTGAAGGATTTAAAGTGGGTTAATAAGGAACATTTTTGTGCCTTCAAGTCAGTCTTGACTCCTAGGAACTGTTTGGGCAAGTCCCTGCAGTTTTCCTAGCAGCATTTTCTGAAGTGGCTTGCCGTGTCTTCCTCCTAGGGCTGAGAGAGAGTGACTGGCCCAAAGCTGTGGCTTTGTGGCTAAGGTAGGACTAGAACTCACAGTCTGCCAGGTTCTAGCTTTTAACCCCTACACCAAACTGGCTGTCAGGATGAGAAGTATAAACCACAATTTCTTCTTGCAAAATGCCCTGCATTAAAATGACTGCAGATATATTTCTGGCATATCTTTTCCTGCCATCAGTGCAACCCACCCAACTGCCAGTCAGCTGTGCTGCTGGGCTCCGCAGGGTGGTGAGCTCTTTCTGCTGGAAGGAAACAAACAAGAGCGATGGCTAAGGAAAATACCTGGAATCCCAAGGGAGGGGTGTGCCTCTACCAGCCTGAAGTGGTTTATAGATGCTGGGCTGATCCTACAACATACAACCACCTGACCATTACGGTTGTTTCAGTGTTTTTCCTATGCTTAGAATGTGGATTGGTCCAACTGAGCTAACAAATTGGTTAGTCAGTTTGATGGCCCTGTTTGTTTTCTTTTTAACTAGCTACTTCTGATAGATAATTATATCGCAATATGCAGAAATGTGTGGCAAGAACCGACAAGTGCTTTCAAGGGCTGTTCCTATAAATGGGATTTAAAAGTTCTTGTATTTGGCTTTTAATACAGAAAAAATCTTATGTCTTAATTGTTGTTTGTTCTCATATTTCCAGAGAGCATGCAGAGGGACGAGGAATAATTGTAGAAATTGAAGATAGAGTGGCAAAAGTAAAAAAAGTAAAGGTATGGTGTTTTTTTTAATTTAGTATCTGAAAGTTTGCTACAGCTGGCAAAATATAATAGCCATATGATGACTTTTCAGATACAATCAGTGTGTTGTAGGGAAGAAAGAATGTTGTTCAATACGCAGGTAGACTCTCCTTACACAATGGTACTTCTCTTGCTTTCTATCACTCTGAATCCCTAAATACCAAATACAAAGTATTTCCTAAACCTCCAGAGCGAACTTTGGGTTTTACTAGACTACTGGAGAGAGGTGAAGGAATCCAGTCCAATGGTGGTTGCCATTTTCTTACTAGGCTGATGCCAATGAATATAACTTCATTTGGAGTAGAAACATTTGGATTCAAATCACCATTCATAGATGAAACTCATTGAGTGAACCTGAGCGTGCCACACATTTAAACTTTGCAGGATGATTATGGGTGAGAAAATGATATATTTTATATATCACATCATTTGAGTTCCTATATAAACTAACTACTTGGAAAAGAAGCACAAGAATTTCCTTTTTTTCCCAGATTTAAGTACAGAATCCACAGTCTGCTCATTTAACACTCTTAAATATAATTTTCAGGCAGTGCAACTAAAAATAGAAATTCTTACATTTTTCCCCCTTCATTATTTCTTCTGGATATTGTGTGACTATTTCTTAACGTGATATTCTTAGGAAGAATTATTATGAAAACACTAATTGCATTTCCCACAAAAATCTTAAAATTCAAAGACCAATTCTGAAATGGTACTAAATATTTTGTGGTGTTTAGAAAGCATGCTGATGCAAATGTGTCCATCTGAATTTGAGCACCGAGTAGAATCTGAAAACAAGCTAGTGCCAACAAAAACTGAAGACAATTCAATACAAAATATTAAAAGGGTTTTATTTGTCTGTCTGGTATTGAGACATAACAATGAGGGGGAAGGGAGGTAAAAATTTGTTAATAGAGCCACTTTGTTTTTTAAAATTGCAGTTGTGTATTGTATGGAAAATCTGTGGAAGTCAAAAATAAAATAGGAAGGAAATACAAAAAGGTGGAGAGTGAGCGCAGCTTAAATTGGCAGAGCTTCTGTGCTCCATATAGAAAAGGAGTAAACATGTTTGGAACCTTAAAATAAATACTGAATTAACCTCCTTTTAGACCCAATGTTGCTGTTTCTCTGCATCTCAGCTGTACTGTGACCTTTTATTCTTTCAAGACAGTAAAATAAGCACAAAAGCTCATATAGAATTGCTTTTTGACTTTTTTTTCCCCCCCTCTCTTGCTCTTGATAGTAGTCTAATATGATAGCAGCTATTTTCTGGGAAACTTAACAAAAATGTGTATTGAACTGCAGCTAAAACCCTTGTAGACTGACTAGCTGTAAGAGATCCTGCATCCTTTCCTTTTTTGAGATTCTTGAAGGCTTCCTTTATAGGCATGGGAAACAGAGCTGGTTTTTTTCCAGACATTGGGACTCCTGAATGCTACTGTACTCTCTTAGTCAAAAAGTAAAATGGGCCAAAATCAGTTTCTGTTGGCAATATATCTTACAACTCAGAAGACACATAAGTGAATTATAGAGTTACCATGATTACTGTGGGAATTCTACAGGACAGATGCTTCCTATTTCTTGCTTAGTCTTTGTATCTGCTTGTCTGCCTGATTATTTTAGGCAATTTGCTTAAGATAATTAGTGTTTGAAACATCTTAGGAGGCAGTTTGGCAGAGATCAAAGAAATAGATAAGTAATTTCCTTGTTTTAAATTCTTTCCGGAGTTGGGTTAGTTCACCCATTCTAGGAGGAAGACAGTAGATAGTGTTCCATGTCTTTTTAGGAAATTCAGAAGATCAGTTGTCTGTTTCTTACAGTGCATTGTGATGTGGATGGCGTATTGCTTAGAAATGTTACTTTTTTGCCTTTTAGAAGACATAACACATTGCTATCCAAAACTGATGTTATACATATTCTGCTGATAGCAACCATATAAACATGGAACCACTGTTAGACTATTGACCCAGTATAGATATGGGGAGTAGTTGTACCTAATAGAATACAAGCTTGATGAACATAATTATATAGTTTTAATCTTGAGATCACTTTTCTTTCCTAATCAGCAAGTTTAAGGTGAGAGAGTCAAGAATGTTATATCAACCTGCATGTGTGTGTGCTTTTGAGTCAAATGTTGACTCCTGGTGACTGCCTGGACAAGTCCCTGTAGTTTTCTTGGCAAGGTTTTATGGAAGTGTTTTGCCATTGCTTGCTTCCTAGGGCTGAGAGAGAGTGACTGGCCCAAGGTCACCCAGCTGGCTTTGTGCCTGAGGCGAGACTAGACCTCACGGTCTCCTGGTTTCTAGCCCAGTGCCTTTAACCACTATACCAAACTGGCTCTCTGTATCAGCCTGTGTAGTGGCTGTTTGTATCTCTTAAAGGTATCTTTATGTCTCTTAGATGACTGTAACAAAAGCTTTGCTTGTGTAGCATGCTTTTGTGGAATTTAGCAATAGACAGCTATTAAAATGCAGATGTTCACAAATAATCCTTGAGATTATAATTGATTTCTTTGATCAGGAGAATCTAGTCTCATAGTATTCACATTTTACTAAAAGAACTGCCCCATGCCGATTATGTCAGAAAACAGTTTCAGCTCTACAATCTTTCAGGAGTCCAGCATATACCCGTAGTGCTCAAAGTCTTCTCAGCCAAGATCTAAGCTCAGCTCCTCTTTGGGGTCCTTTTGGGCCCCTACAGGTAGTTCCTTCCCCTTGAAAGAATTCAGTCTAAGTTCTTGAGATCTACCTTCCAAGTACGTTGCTGTGTTCCAACTGTGGTGCTTCATTGTGAAACTGGCCCACTCAAAATAGAAACATCCACCTGGATTCATATCCTCTCATGCTGGCTTAAGCTTCTTTTTTTCCAGCTGGCTTGGTCTCTTTATGACTGACAGCTTCCAGTCACCCTGGTGTCAGGCAATACACGGAAAATTAAAATCTTATGGCTTCTCATGCACATCAATCACCCTGATGGGACACAAACGTGCACTAGCCAATCTTAAACAAGATGCCATCAACTTAGAGCTACAGAGCTCAGATTTACCATTCTTGCCCAGAAACATCCTTCTGAGCCACTCTGCATACTTACTTCACCCAGCCAGATACCTCAGCCACATAACAACTCCTAAATTTAGGAGGGCTTTGTCTGGCTAGATTCAGTGCCCTTCCAACAGCAGTCATTGAGGGAAGATACCAGAACTTCCCCTTTGAGCGAAGATTGTGCCCATGCGGTGGAGGTACAGCTGAAACACTGGAACATGTTATATTGTACTGCTCTCTCCATGCTGACGCTCTCCAGGAATTACTGTTTCCACTCATCACCAAACACCCTGATTGTACTGATTCCTTCTACCTCAAACTGCTGCTATCAGACCAATCTGATTCTACTTCAATGATTACAGCCAAAAACTGTTTCATAGTTTGTACAATATGCCATAATTTCTCTTGAAACATCTCCTAGATATTTTATGCTTGGAAACATTTCAAATGCAACTGTCCATTTAGTTTCTACTTTTTATCAATGTTTTATGTCCTTACTGTCAATAGAATCTTATTTTTGTTTTAATTTCATTAGCTGCCAGAGTCATTTTAACAATATTTATTTATTTATTTATTTATTTGTTTATGTTTATGTTTATGTTTATATTTCAAATTTAGATACCAC